ATTGGTGAGGCATCTTCTGGAGTACTGTGTCCAGTTCTAGTTGCCCTGTGAAAGGAAGGATATTAATCAAGCTGGAGAGGGTTCAGAAGATATTTACCAGAATGTTGCCATGTATGGAAGGTTTGAGTTATAAAGAAAGGCTAAATAGGCTAGGACGTTTTTCACTGAAGTGTAGGAGGCTGACAGGTGACCTTACAGAAGTTTATAAAATCATGGTGTATAAATAGGGTTAATGGTAGGTGTCTTTTTCCTAGGATGGGGGATTTCAGGACTAGAGGACATGTTTTTAAGGTGAGAGGAGAGAGATTTAGAAAAGACATGAGGGGCAAATTTTTACATGAAGGGGAGTTTGCATGTGGAATGAACTTCTTGAGGATATAGTGGATGCGGGCATAGTTACAACATTTAAAAGACACTTTAAGTACACTTTTAAGAATAGGAAAGGTTTGGAGGGGTATGAGCCAAGAGCAGGGAGTGGGACTAGCCAAGTTTGGGATTATGTTCAGCATGGACTGGTTGGACTGAAGGGTCTGTGTCCATGCTATATGACACAAAGACCCTGACATTATAACACATCCAGTACTGCAATGCCTGCGGCAGTCAAGGTCACAATAGCACTTAATTCTTGCGTGGCTGAAATTTTACAGACTGCCAAAAGTCACATATTGCAATCCCTTAATAAAGGCATTGACCCAGTAATGTGTAACACTTTCTAGGTATATCCTATCTAATCCAGTCAATGCCTACTCTCAATCATCAGCAAAGTCATCGTTAACAATGTTATCAAGCTGCAATTACTCAGCAACAATCTGCTCACCAAATCTCAGTTTGTTTTCTTTGGCCTGGGCTATTTGGTTCCTGACTTTTAATGTCTTGGTCCATTTTTTCAAATTCATTGATAGGACGTTGATATCTCTGGCGAAGCTCGCATGTTTTCCCGATGCTTAATTACCCTTGAACTGAATGGTTTGCTCGACTATTCTGGACGGCCTTTAAGTTACTTGTATGGATCTGGAGTCACATGTAGCTCAGAGCTTGCATGGATGGCACATTTCATTCTGTGAAGGACATAAGTGTCTTTTTAAAAGTGACACTTTTTGTTGCGACAATCAATGTTTGTTGTCATAGTCACCATTACTCTGACTAGTTTTATATACCAGATTTATTCATTGATTTTAAATTCCACAAGCTGTCTATGGGATGAATTGAACCCATGCACCTATAGCATTATCTTGGATCTTTGGATTATGAGGCCAGTGCCATGACCACTAAAATAGTCCACTATCTCTTCCTGAAACACAGTCAAAAGAACTGAACTCAAGAGGTGAGGGTGATGTACTTGATTCAAGGCAGCGTGGATTGTGTGCCATTATGGAACCCTGGTAAAACTAAAGTCAATGACAATAGGGTGACAATCACTCCATCCTAGTGTTTGAGACAAGCTGAGCACAAAAGTTTTGGTTGTTGAAAGGTCAACCATTACAGTCCCAGGACATCGGTTGCAGGAATTCCTCAATATTCAAGACCCAACCATTTTCAGCTGAGCTCTATCATAAGGTCAGCAGGGCAGCTATTCACTAACGACTGAACAATGTATCGCACCAGTTGGGACTGCTAAGGTACTGAAGCAATCGCTGTTCATATGCTGCAAAACCTGGACTGCATTCAGGGTTGTGGGTGATAAGTAGCAAGTAACATTTGTGCCACACAAGGGTCAGGCAATGACCATCTCCAACAAGAAAGAATGTAATGATTTCTCCTCAAATTTCAATCTCATTGCTATTGGTAATTTCCATGCTATCAATATTCTATGGCTACCACAGCTGATCAGGAAGACCTCTTGGATCTCCAAAGCATGTCCACCCAGCTACAAGGCATAGGTCAGGAATGGAATACTCCCAAAGTACCTCAATGAGTGTGGTTCCAACTGTTCAATACCATTCAGGACAAAACCATCTTCATGATCTGAACTCTATCCACCAATTTAAATGTTCACTCTCCAACATCAATTCACTGCAGAAGTGTGTACCATCTAGAAGATGCACTGCAGCAGTTCGCCAAACTGTCTTCAACATTACCTTCTAAACCTACAAGCTCCATCACCTAGATGGACCAGGGCAGCTGATGCATGGGAACACCACCACCTGCAAGCTCCACTCCAAATCACTCACCATCCCAACTTGAAACAATGTCACTATTTGTTTACAGTCACTGTGCCAATATGCTGGAATTCCCTCCTTAATAGCACTATGGAAATATTTTTCACTTCACCAACTGAGGTCACTCAACATGGCAGCTTATTACCACATTTTCAAAGGTAATTAGGGATAGGTAACAAATTCTGGCCTTGCTCACATCCCATGAATGAATAAAAATAAAGCTTTTCCTTTTTTTAAAACAATCTTCAAGACAATCTTCTGTATATGGGAATTAACAGTTTATTTCCAGGCCTAGCAACTGACTGACCTGGGAGTCTTCAGCCACATTTATTGCTTTCTTCAATATGGTTGAGGGTGGGCAGAAGATACCATCCCACAATGTTTTCCTAGCCATTCAAAGAACTGTCAAAAACAAGACCTCCAACTGGCTGGGATAACTGGTTCCAGCAAGCGATTAGAAACAGAGTTTTAGGGAAAATATGTCATAGCAATCACACTACAATTTTCATGACCTTGTATCTCAATTTGCAGCTTCCATAGCATTGGGAATTAACACATTATAACAAAGTACTGATTGGGACTCATATGTTAACCTCTCTGCAGCAGAATGCTCACAAGTTGAATCTTAGATTTGTCCAATAGCCTAAGGCTTAGCCAGAGTCACACTGTTAATTTTTTTAAAATTTCAACTTATTTGAATGTTCCTTTACAATGTTAGAATAGTTAAAATGACTTATATTTATGAGACTTTCCATTTTGGTGCAAGTGTCAGCTATGTTTCAGTGGCGTTATATTCAACTCTAGTCAGACTGTTGTACATTCAAGTTCCACCCCACAGAGAAGTACAACAATTTGGCTGACATTCCAGTGCAGAGTTGAGGGATTGCTGCAGTGTTGGAGGCACTACTTTTCAGATAGGAAGTTAAACTAACATCCTGTTTATTGTGAAAGATAGTGGGGACTGCCGATGCTGGAGAATCTGAGATAACAAGGTGTAGAGCTGGATGAACTCAGCAGGGTCTAGACCCGAAACGTCAGCTTTCCTGCTCGGCCTGCTTGTTCATCCAGCTCTACACCTTGTTATCCTGTTTACTGTCTTGGCTGGACATAAATGATCCCATGGTACCATTTACAGAAATGCAGGGTAGTTCTCGCATCGGCCTGACCCACATTTACTTCTCAATTAACTTCAATGAAACAGATTTTCTGGTCATTACCACATTAATGTTGTGGGACATTGCTGTGTGTAAATTGGATGCTGAATTTTCTACAATAATGACTACATTTAAAAATACTTAAACAAAAACAGAAATTGCTGGATAAACTCAGAATTTCTGAACTCAGTTCTGAAGAATGGTCACTGAACCTAAAACGTTGATTCTGCTCTCCTTGCACAGATGTGGCCAGACCTGTTGAGTTTCTCAAGCAATTTCGGTTTTTGTTCCACATTTGCAGCATCCACAATTCTTTGCTTTTGGTTAAACAGTACTTAATTGGCTGCAAATACTTTTGGAGGTCCTGAGGCAATGGGAAGTGCCATATCAATGCAATTCTTTATTTTCCTTTTTTTCTTTAATGTCTGCTATTTGTTGAGGAATGCAATATTTAGATTTGATTGGTCCCTGCTAAGCAAGTGATCACAGCACTAAATATTTAGTAAGGACCATCCAGAAATCAGTTTCAAACATTAAGCTTGTACAAACATGCAAGTACAAAACAATTATCTAAATTGATCTATTGAAAACTCACAAAGAAATAAGGATCAAACTGAAGTGAAATTAATTAATATTAAAAATAATTTGATTACATTCAGTACTTTGAATTTACAAGCAAGATTACCAAAGCTCTGCCCTCACTTTTAATCAAAAGACAATCATTTCTAACTAGACAGACCAACTTGTGCTTCTGAAAAGCAGCACAGGCATATAATTATTTGTCATCATTTAAAACAATGGTGTTTGTAGCATAATCTTGGCGACCAAATATGTAAATCACTGCAGATAATAAAACACTATCCATTACAATGTAGACGAAGAAAAATCTTCTTTGCTCTCATCTGAATAAGGAACGCATTTTAAACCACAATTCTCTTTTACATATTTCTAGAATATACATACCTTTAAGTTATTACTGATATTTACATAAATATACAGAGCCACAAGATTTTTAAGCAAAATCAACCCACACCAGAATCGAACATCGAATAATTCTATGTAATAAATTTAGTATTCCCTGAGTATACATATATTTTGTATCTTGCATGGACCATGTTAGCAATGAAATACTCATTCAGGCTGTTCTATGTAAAAAATAAAGTTATTCTTATGAATTACAATGAAACAAGCTAACTATTACGTTGTGTTAAATATCAATTCTCAATTGCACAGCAGCGGACCAAATGATCTCTAGTTCTTAAAATAATTTTGCAAACCAAGCATTTCTTGGTTCTTCCAGGGGAACATCAAAAATAAAATAATTAACATGTAGTGCTCATTTTTATCTGTATATAGCCTGAGAGGTCAATTGTGCTTAATTAATATTATTAATAAAGGTCAGTTCCATTTAGTGGTCAGAACACAAAACACAGAATTGCACATTCTCACTAAAGTTAGCAGCATCAAACCAATGAACAACAATCCACAAGCTTTGAAGCAGAGCTCGACTGAATCTTACAAAGTATCCAAAAAGTATACAAATTGCACAGGCAATATTTTCAAATTTACACTGTAAAAACATTCATTCACTATTTTGAAGAAATGTTTGCAACTACAGAGAATGTAGCTACATCTGTATTTAAAATGTAAAATCCAGTGTTTTGAAGGAGAAGGAAAGCATGGGGAAATTAATTGGCAAGTTATGTGATGGCAGTAAAGATGCTATTTGAAACAATGTACAGGGTCTTCTATCTTAAACCACAGATCGATGCTCTCCACAAACGTAAATGGCACTTGGACGAATTCGCCTTCTGGTACGTCCAGGTAGCTGAGGCAAGAACTTAAAGGTTTTTGGCATCAGCTCTAAGCAAGCATCACGGAATTTTTTAATCCTCCAATAGTAAATTAATGGGTTGAGTGCAGATTTGAGGTAGGTTAACCAAAGGAGCCACGTGCTTATCTCAAAAAAGTTACCTTTATGATAAAAACTACTGCTGAAAGTAGAAACAAGGCTGTATGTGGTGAATGGCACTGAGCAGAAGGTGAAGACAATGAAGAGGATCAGGATGGTAGTGAAGGCACGTGTTTTGAAGCTCATGTCAATGCTTAGCTGGCAGGGTCTCTGCAGGCTCATGAGTCCAAGCTTACTGGCTTGGCCCAAACAAATGCTATCTGAGCTGCTATGGATCCGAATGGCATTATGTCGGACCGTGTTGAGGATACCCATAAAAGAGTACAACATCAGCATGAATGGGATGAAGAAGAACATAATTATTATTAACAGGACATAAGCCCGATAACCAGGATCTGTAGAATATCCAAATACGCACTGTGGAGCACGAGATGGCACTGGCAGATGTGGACTACCAACGGCAAGGGGAAAGGCCATACAAAATGCCATACCCCATGAGATGGCAATGAGCAGCTTAGCACGGTAAGGGTTCAATCTGTCTTGACGTTGAACAATGATGAGAAAGCGATCAATGCTAATTATAAGCAAGATAACAACTCCTTCTATCACAAAAAGCCAGAAAAACATGGCTGACACTCTGCAAAAAATATCACCAAAGATCCAGTGTGTAGTATTAACAGTGATTAGGGCAAAGGGCATATTCATTACAGCAAGCATCATGTCTGCAAAGGCTAAACTTGCCAGAAGGATATTAATAGCTGATCGCATTGCTGCTTTCTGATAGACCATGAGACAGACAATAAAGTTTCCCAGGAAAGAAATTAAACCTATTACCACCATCATGGCAGAAAGGAGGACCTGCAGAGGAAGGCCTATACCCCCATAGTCTGACTGAGTGGGAATTGCTGTGCTATTTTCCATGGAGTTACCTTCTGTAGTTCTGTAAGTGGCAGATCCTTCAGCAACAGAGAGTTCCACCTCATTGTGAATTATAGCATGTGCTGAAGAGTTGAAATAGGCATGTTCAGAAGTGACAATTGTGCTATTTGAGGTCCCTGCATGTGCAGTCAAAAGAGGAGAATAAACCATTGTTATACTAGGACCAATGGCCAAACTGTAAAGACATCATCTTGCACCACCAATCAAGTACAATTAGTGACAGTTACATGTTGGTTGGAATAGCAGGTTCTTCCAGAAGCTGTGCAGTTACCACCTATCATCGATTAGAGTCTTACTGGTTTCCAAAGTTTCACAATCTGGAAAAGAAAAAGGAAAACACACATCAATGCAATGACTGTTGGAAGGCCTATTCTTCCTTCATACTTTGTTACCACTTGGCAAACTCACATTCTCAATCAAGTTTAAATCCAAAGCATTTGGATAAGTACATGAAGAGGAAAGGTTTAAGAAGGATATAGAAAGGTAGGACTAGTTTAGTTTAGGAAAGTGGTTGGCATGGACTGGTTGGATCGAAGGGTCTGTTTCCATGCTGTATGACTATTTCCTAGCACAAGAGGTTATTATCACATGTAACCTAACAAAATTCTGAAGCACTGGAACAGTACTGCCGTTAGGAGCCTAGACAGGAATGGTTACACTGTAGAAAGATTTATTCTACTCTCTTCCTCAGATGGTGATGATGGTCAGAACTACTTACAGGCCAAAATCTGTCTTGCATTGGTACATTTAACTATCACATTCAGTTTTACTGAAAGTACTGATTACGGCCATTTTTGAAAAAAATAAATCATGCAGAGAAGGGGAATTAAAACATTGCAAACATAATTAGATAATTGTTACTTTTTCCATTTTCTGGGAAAAAGAAAGTTGGGCCAGAAAATCATTGGTGACGTTCTATGGTGAATGACTACTTCTTAAGATGCAGTCAGAAATTCTACTTGTAGATTTCACATTTACTTTGAGACTCATCATCTAATGGGTTTTTACACATTTCAAATCAGACACATTTTTAAAAAACTTTCAACAGCCAAAATGATGGGGATCATCAAGTGTGCATGGAGCATTACTTCAACCTCCTCTTGCAAGTCATCTTCCTGAAGCCATGTCAACTTCATTGGAGACCACTTGACTGTTCTCCTTGTTATGATTAGATATTAAACAACTGGACAAACACAGGTATTGTACAATATCCATTGTAAGAAAATGTCCCTCTGCAAATGTGAATATACTATAAATTATAAAATTGTGAAAACACAAGTTTAGAGAAAATAGAAGTTGTCCTTTAAAACATCATTAGCATGCATTATACTACACAACTGTGTAAATTTAAAAAAATTATAATTTGTCAAATGCAAAAAGCTTCAAGCAGCTCTTGGAGTTTCTTTAATTATTTTTCAACCATGGTTTCAAAACTGGTATTGGATTTGGCAACCCTGAGCTATCTACTGATCTCCAACAGAAGCGAGTGTAGTAAAAGCCTCACTATAAAAACTAAGTCACTCATTGTAATTACACACGGGTTTATAAAACACACTTTTGTTTTCATCATAAAAACTGGTTGTGTATTTGAAGACTGTTAAAATTAACCTCATAACTTCAGCCTGCACCAAAGTGGTTGAAGGATTACAAAAAAAAATTATTTACACAGCATCCTTAATGTAATAAAATATCACAAGGCACTTCATAAGAGTGTTAACAAATAACAATGAAACTAAACCTCATAAACGATATTACAGCAATTGAGGTAGATTTCAAGAAGCTTCTTAAGAGGTGGAAATAGAAGTGCATTAGGTGGAAAGAGGTCTGCAAAAGATACATGTACACTGTTAACATTTTATATTTCTTACCTGGGAAAGAGACTAATTAAATTTGTTTTCAAAAATCAAAAACAGCAAGTCAGGCAAAATAAATAAACCTAGCAAGGTTTGAGACCACCACATTTGACATCAAATCCAACATGCTGTGTGATTTCGTACAATAAATATTTTCATTCCAAGCCAAAATTAGAATAAAAACTTTTAGAAAAAATACCATATGCTTAATGTTTATTATCAGTACTTAATAGGAAAAATGTCCTGTAAATCACTTTAATTACATTCTCAAATTGTAGCATTAAAATGGTCATGCAATTAGATATCATTCACTAAAATGAAAGCAGAAAAAGCAAAACCAAAAAATTAAACAAATAAATATCTTCATGTATTTACAGGCCATTTCTTCCTAGTGTTAAGACAGCTATTATTGATAGCTGCATCCATGGAGCATTAATATGTCATGGCTTTAACTGGTCCATTGCAGGAGCCTTTGTTAAAAGGAAGAAATGTAAGCTTAAGAAAGTCTGTGTTTGATTAATATTGATACATTCCAGAATCATTAAGTGAAAGGTCAACCTTTTGAGCATGTGGCATACAAATTTGCCAATTTTACTGATAGGGCCTTTCGGTGAATATGTTATGCATTACATAAGGTACCTGGCAGACCCTCAGATGGTCTCTCAATCATGCTGGATTCTTTATTTTTGTCAGATGTAGTTTCTTCAATGTTGTACAATTATGTTGGTTGTCTTCTGTGGCAACAGTTTTCTCATAGGTGTAAAATAAGTAAGTTTATAAGTACAATATATATCTAAGACAGAGAGAGGAAATCAAAACATGTGACATCATGTCCAGAGATAAAATCAAAATACTGCGGATGCTGGAAATCTGAAACAAACACTGAGAAACTCAGCAAGTCTGGTAGCATCTGCAAAGAAAGAAACAGAATTATGTTTTAAATCCGAAATGACTTGCCTTCAGAACTTTTTCGAAAAGAGTCATAACAGAACTGAAACATTAACTCCTAAATAAGAACCAAAAGAACTGCGGATGCTGTAAATCAGTAACAAAAACAGAAATTGCTGGAAAATCTTGGCAGGTCTGGAAGTATCTGTGAAGAGAAATCAGAGTTAATGTTTCAGGTCCAGTGACCCTTCCTCAGGACTGACAGGAGCTAGGATAATGCCAGCTTTAGTGCAGAAGATAGGGTGGGGGGAGGGGGTAAGGGGTAAATGATAGGTGGGCATAGAGCCCAAAGAGAGAGAAGAGCAGTTGGACAGACAAAGGAGTGGATAATGATCTGGCTAGGAGGGTGAATAGCTGTTGATGGAGACTGTTAGTGGCTGACAATGAGGTGTCTTCAACACAACACCCTGTTCCCTGGCCAATATCTGTGTCTCAGGCTTGCTGCAGTGCTCCAGCATAGCTCAGCAAAAGCTGGAAGAGCAGCACCTCATTTTCCACTTCGGGACCCTGCAGCCTTCAGGACTTAACGTTGAGTTCAATAACTTTAGGGCTTGAACTCTCCAATGTCCCAGACCCCACCCCCCACACACCAGGCCTTGTGATCACACAGTCTGCTATTACACACAATCCATTGTCAGCCACTAACAGTCTCTATCAACAGCTATTCACCCTCCCAGCCAGATCGTTATCCACTCCTTTGTCTATCCAACTGTTCTTCTCTCTCTTTGGGCATTATCCCCACCTATCATTGATTCCTTACCCCTAACCCCACCCTATCTACTGCTAAAAACCGGCACTTTCCTAGCTACCTTCGGTTCTGAGGAAGGATCACTCGACTTGAAACATTAACTCTGATTTCTCTTCACAGATGATGCCAGACTTGCTGAGTTTTTCTAGCAACTTCTGTTTTTGTTTCTGATTTAAAGCATCCACAGTTCTTTTGGCTTTTATTTAGCAAAGGGGTTTGGTTTTTGTTTCTGAAACGTTAACTCTTTTTCTCTCTTTGCAGATGGTGCTGTGTTTCTTCAGCATTTTCTGTGTTTGTTTCAGATATCTAAAGATAATTTTGGCACTTACAAGTGTAAGAGATCAATGATAACAATTTTAAGATAGAATATACAAGATACTTGTGCACAAGATGGATTCAGCTGGAACTAAGGACCCCAAGTGAAGTGACTAGCTATTTCTGAAAGGACTAATTAACTTAACATTCCAAAAGCTAAACCCCTTGCTGTAGGCAAGGTAAATTATCAACCCAAGCAAACTGTGCAATAAAAGGTGGCTGCATAAAGTCTGGAAACCTTACTGTTAAATTCAGTTAAAAGTGGTTACTACTTGATTTCACCTATCAAATTATTATGGTTTCAAACACCGATCTCCATTGTGATTTGCTGATCCATCATCCAGTTACATACATACGAACAAGAAAGAATAGGCCACTCGGCCCTTTGTGCCTGTTCTGCCATTCAATAAGATCATGGTTGATCTGATTTCAATAGTAACTCTACATTCCTGCATATCCCAATAATCTTTCAACCCTTTGGTCATCAAGAATCTAGTTAACTCTATTCAAAGATTCTGCATCTATTGCCTTTTGAGGAAAGGAATTCCTAACAAACTCAACCCTCACAGAAAAACAAAAGTTTCCACCGTCTCTGTTGAATTCACTGTTTAATTGCCCTTATAATTTCAATTACGCATTTCAAGTTCTACTGCCTATCAACCTTTGTTTGTGCAATTATTGTGCAACTCCATTTGTAATAGTTCATTTCCAAAAGTTGTGTATGCTTTGTGTTTAGCTTTAAGAAATGATATTGCAGATTTGAATTCAAGAAATAGTTTTTAGTGTGCATCCTGTTTTATTGGATGTTTTGACAACAAACTTTAGTTAGTTCCCTAAGGTGAGAGGATTATATGGCAAACTCCAACTGAATGATGAAAGGTAGTTCAGCAAGGTGGCCTAGGTAATAGTGCTATCTAGACCTCAGGTATACACTGAAGGTACAGAGGCTGCTTGCTGGAATTAAACTGAAAGGATTAATGATTATCAACCCAATGTTCATGTATAATTTTACAAATGTTTCAGAATAACATTGTAAAAGACTTTCTAGTGACTCTTCACTCTGCCATGACCTTTGAACTGCTTATGGTCATCTATTAAATGTTCTCCTCCCTCGATGGCCAAGAATAAGCTTTTTTGGTTTAACATTAATACAGATTTACTGCTGGCCATATTGGTGAAAACAGTTTCTCTCAAGTTTCAGTTTCTCCCATTGTTTATCACAAATTATTTTTCACACCATAATCTGAAAAATCGTGTAGCAGCAAAAAATGCAATTTATCATGTAATTTCCCACCGAAATGGCTTACTAGCCCCTATAAACGTACACGTTAAAAATATAATTACTTGCCATAAATTCAACTTAAAAGTTCCAGTTTCTTTCAGAAACATAATATGACCTGCAAAATTTCTAAATATCCTAACTGTTCTTAGCTATCCCTTTCCTCCTTATTTA